ATAAGATGGAACTTAAAAATAAACAATTATATTCACGTAATATTAATCATGTAGACGTATAAAATAATTGGGTCGTGTGAATGTGTGTTTGAGTATATTTAGAACTGCGCATTCACAAGACACTATTTTAATTTTGATGGCACGTGATGCTGGTAGAATATGTTTAGGAATTAAATTAAATGAGGCCAGTCACAGACATCAAGCATGTATGGCTACCATCGGCGTATAGCTACGTTAATTATTTATTATACGATCACTATTTTAATGATTATTTATCGAAAGTACATATATACCAATCTTATATAAATGAGTTTACTTAGAATGTGAACTCAGTGTAAAAACAACGCAGTATTGTGATAAAGACACGCATATGCGAATGTAGGGGAATAAAAAAAAGATTCTCAGCATAGAATTTTTTACTATTTTACTATTTCTGCGAATGAAAGAGAAACATTACGATTCCTTTTTCTAAAATAGTAGATTATTGTTTGAATGTGTATTTACTTTAAGATACGAGTGTTAATGCGTTAGTTAAGCATAAATGAACATGTAGAATACACTTAGGAATTCCAATAGTTAATCTTCGTTCTTCAAATAGCAAAAATATCCAGGCCACTAATGTGCCTAATTGATCGTTTTAACCGGATAATACATATAAGAAATACAATTATATCTACATTGTATTGTGTTGTGATAGTCTTGATTCAATAATCACGTTTGAATGCATTTTATTAATTTATTTTTATTAAATGACTCGTTCGAATAATTACGAGTTTTTTTTTTAGATATCGGATACAAATATATTTGTAACGAATGTAACAATACGCGTTTTAAAATGCGTGTGATGAATTACATAGATGATGATAACATACAGGAGATCTTAAAACGTTATCATCTCGACTGATTTGCTGTCATTAATTCATTATAATCTAATGCTTTAAAAATGACAAAGATTATTTATTTAGTTTAAAATGAAAACGAATCCCCTTTTATCTATTGATTGCGTTTAACATTTAATAAGTGAAAAGAATAATATTTCACACAATATTATGTGATATGTATCTTGTCAAAGAGACAATACAATATTGTTAAGAAACAAGAAACAGTGAAGATATGTTCACTGATGAATTATTAATACATTTAATCAGAACAATATCTCAGGATATGATATATCGCTTAATAATTGTTGATATTATTGCCACATGCATTGTGGATTTGTTTATAAGATTGGAATTCTCGATTCGAGGATTCTTTGTATGACAAACTCTTTGCGGTTGAATCCTGGCGAGGCTGTTTTATCGTTGCAGTTATTTAAGCAGTCAAACTCAACACTGTTTATTTTGTTGGCTGGAGGAACAGTCGTTCTTTCAATTAGTTGAGATTAGTTCTTTTCACACAGGCAGCAGACTCAGTATTACTGATATTTACTATTTTCTATCATTGGTATTTATCTGATTTTTTACAGTTATACTCTGAAATATCTAAAAGAAAACGAGAGCCTAGTGATTATGAAGATGTGCAAAGCAGTGGTGATGAATTTTATATGAATCATAATTATATTGATGATTATAATGACTACATTGACAAATCAGAGAATGGTAGTGATATTACAGTGCCTAGAAACCAGGATTATTTTGAAATACCAAAGAAAACTATAGATCTGTATAAAATATCGAACACCAAGATAATACAATATAATATAATATATGCACACAGCTTGAACATACTTGTTCGAATAAAATTTATACGTTTTTTGAGACAATAATTGACTGAGTGTGTGCTACCCAAAAATAATTCCGACCAATACGACTACCATGCCTACAAAAAATACGACCGCAAAGAGTTAATAGCTGCGTAAATGAAAGAATAAAAAAGGAATAATTTAACGATGTATTTGAGATTTAAGGAAAGTATTTGTTATTTAGTTTTTTACAATGTTTTAAATAATACGAACCTTTGAAGTTTGGGTTCTTACATACGTATCATCAGTTTTAACATACATTTTAGCATGCAATATTCATGAATTACATGATTATCAAAATAAACAAATTATATTTTATTTGTATTATGAGTTAAGTCATTTCTTTTTATTAACGAATACTTGTCTCTGTCTTATTACACTGTTTATTGTTCAAATACAACATCTATGGTGTCGAAATACAAATAACATTCAGATATTGCAACAGTAATAAATTAATCTACAATATGTTGTAAGTTGTATTTGTTTAACGCGTAATTAATTTCACGTGCCCCAACTCCAGAGCGAACAATTTTATAATAGCCTGGTTTGGATAAATCAACTATGGTCGATCCACGTCTCAAACCATTATGTGATTTACCAAACTTGGTACTGTCGTAAAATATCCCATCTAATTTATCCCACAAATTTTGAAACTCCGACGGGTATAAGCAATTGGGCTGATTGCTTAAATTAGCACTCGTTAACGCTAAAGGTCCTGTTATTGCAGTGACACAATTTATAAATGCATAATCTGGAATTCTAATGCCTACGGTGTCATGATCGGGATTCAAGGCAGGATTCAAAGCTGGCGTTCGTTTCAAAATAATTGTATATGGCCCTGGTAATAATAATGTTAATAAATTGTATGGCACATGATCGACAACACCCCATTTTCCTACATCTTTCACGTTACTAACGCAAATAGATAATGGTTTACTTGCATCACGTTTTTTAATTTCATAGAGCTTTTCAATAGCATTAGCGTCTGATACAAGACAAGCAAGACCATATATTGTATCTGTTGGAAATGCTACAACTTTATTTTGTTGCAATAATTTGCTAGCTATAGCTACGGATCGTTTTCCTTTGCACATCCAATGATTGCTATACTTTGTTAACACCTCTATCTCCTCTTCGACGGAATTCAATAGAACATTCATTGGGCCCAATTTTTGTACATTTGAAATTGTTCTCTTTCCATCAAGTAAGAAACGGTACTGTATTTTCACAAAAAAATAAATTTATCAATTAATTCAAGAATTAACAATATTGTACATAAGTACAATGGTTAATAAAAGTGTCTAAATGATATTATAAAACATTTATGTACATATTTGTACATTGCATGAAACGCTTTGAAATTTTATTAACGTTGAAATGAGAATTATATTTGCATTGATAAAATTTGAGGTTTGAAATTTTGAATCTATAAAATATATCTAGGAATTGCAAGATATTTGTTGCAAATATGTACTTAGTAAACAAACTAGTATACAACAAGAATAGAAATCTTAAACATACAATGAGCATTGAAAATGGATTGATTGAACATCAATTTTATGATTTCTATGTAAAAAATGTATTTGTATGAAACACAACTTTCATGAGTCACCGTAAATAATTATAGACACTACATAAGGACCAAAATTTTAATTCGATAAAGTCATTCAAATGAGCCTTTTAGAAGTTAAACTGATCAACTGAATTTTCTTGAAATTTCAAGCTTTCGTTACTTGAATATGTGACTGTTTAATTTCTTCTACCAGTATTGTAAAGAGATAATATAAACTATTCTAAATTCCAAAACAAATGCAATGTTCAGTTAACGCTAAGAACAATGTTGAGAATGAATAGCTTATCAACCTGCCTTCAGTCGCGCCAGTTGTGGCCACATTGAGGATTGCAACATTTGTAGAACGTTGTCATAGGTTCGTCGGCGGATCTCGTTTGAATTTGCATGAAATACGCTCTGAGATTAGAGCACTTTGGACACCTCTCTTCAGTGGAATCGACGTTTTCCCAAGCTGCGCTTCCGCCTAACACATCCTCCACTTCTTTTAATTTCGGATACGTACGACTGCTCACTTTTCTCACGACGTTGAACACGTACGGGCACGTGTTGCATGCGAAGCGCAACCCTTGCAAAGCTTCCTCTATACTAAGCAGATTGCCGCACGTTGGACAGAACAATAACATCGTGTAAATACAAATCCAATCGAATCATCAAAGAGCGAACTAATCAATATTTGTATTGAATTACCAACTTTCAATCAACATGCAAGTTTTTAACTGGTTCAAACCGACGTGTATAACAGTCAATGGTAAAAGTAAGCAGACGATAAAGGATCATTCTAGGTGCAGTATAAGACCCCGTTTTCAAGAAAATAAAATTTAGATGCGTTCAATTAGGGATTAATCCGGTAACACGCATAATTTATTCTCTCGAAGACGAAGTGTTTTATGAGAGAATTTAATTCTACGTTTTTAATTTATTTTCGAATACGCATATATATATATATATATATATATATATATA